TTTTTAGTTATGTCAGAACTGTGTGCTGGCTATTGCTGTGTGATCAATAACACAAATAAAGCTGGTCCAATAGAATGTAATAGGTTTTTACAGAAAAATCAAATGTTGTCAAAATCAACACAGCTTAAGGGTGGGAAAAATAAATATTTAATTGCAACCTTGATTCAACTTCATGGATTTGAATTGGTGCATGTAATATGTGTGCAATGTGAATTTGTAAGTCGAGGTAAATACCAAGAAAAAAAGTAAAAGGACATTTCTTTGACCAGTTAATATTTTCTTCTGAGAAAAAGATCTAGATGTTTCCTTCTGCTAGTGGAGTTTAATTTTGAGCAGTTAAATCAATTATATCAGTTTACAGTGATGGGTCCTTTGTTTATCAGTCTATGTGTACTTTCTAATACATACTTCTTTTAATGTTCACAGGAATATACAATATTTTTTTTAATGAAGAGTGGAAAGAGGTATCAGTATAATCAATTTTTTTCCTGACTCACCTAGAACTGGAGAAATCTAAACTTCACATTAGTGACCCCATAACCTGCACAGAAATTTTCAAGAGGAACTTTAATATATGGAAGTGTATGCATTGTAAAATCATTTTGGTCTCAATCAGATTCAAAGAACAGTAGCTGATAAATGAGCTTGAACTCTAAACTCACTTGCACCTAAATGTGCTGACATGAAGTTAAATATTTTCATATGCTATTTTACTCATTCAGTTAGGCAATCTTAACTGCTAATGTGGTCATGTTCTCTGTAGCAGTAATTTCTGTGAACCTGGAATGGGACACCTCATGTTAAGTTGCCCGTGTAGGAACTGTGCAATCAAATCAAAATGTAGTAAATCCTTTCAGCCAGAAGAATTACAGACTGTTCTCCATTTCATAGAGTATGTGAGTCACTTTTTTAATTAATGCAGCTTTTTTGATTGCTAGGGATTTTTTTTTCTTTTTTTTTTTCTTTGCAGAGTACTTTGTCATCCTTTTTAATTCATAAATAATTTAGTATTGAAAATGAGCATGGTGGTTGGCTGTGCTCAGTTGCACAGGAAGTCAGATAGATGTTCTCTTCACTGATAAAAGATGAAGACTTGCAGAAACCATCTGGACTTTGATTGAAAAGAACTGTTACAAGAACTGGGGATGCACAGCAATGAGATTTATAGCAGTACATAGCTACAGTATTAAGCAAAACCCTTTTGCCATTTTTCACTAAATAAGGTGACAGTAAGATTTATCAAGGGAGTGCTGAGTTTAATTGTAACATGGTCTCATTACAAACAGTCAGATAAATTGTGTGCATTAATTATGAAGCAGAAAATTTCATAATAGCCTTTCTCTTTAATTATCTCAATACTAAAACTCTGTCATGGGGTGTTTAACAAACCTGTCTCTCTGTATCAGATGGCATGCGATACAAATTTGTGATGTTTCTTAGGTTATAACTTCTGGGTTTCAGGCCGTTGAACCAGGGCAATGGTGTGTAGGTCTGTGATTGAAGGTGTAGTTAGCATGGTTCTGGTTCAGCTTGTTTAACAGACTCTGAGTTTATGTTGTGTGTATGGCAGAGGTTTCTGGAAACCAGGCGAGTATTCTGATCAATGTCCTATCTACTCTAACTTGTTCTGCTTCCAAAGCAAGTGCAGGCATGCAAGCTCCTAATATTCTTCCTTCAGACTTTCATGTGAAAAAAGTCTTTTGATCATTATAGAAAATGAGCATAGAGAAAAAGAAGCATAGTGAATGTTTTTGGACTTCTATTTTTGTGGGTTTTTTTTTTTTTTTTGGTCTAAGCTTCATGTTCCATCTTTGACAGAAGCACTCAAAATCATCTTTCACCAATACAACCTGAACATGCAACCAAGTTATTTTAGTCAAAGGTAATATAGAAATACACAATGTGAATATTTTCATTAAATTTGCACAGACTTACAGCACTTAGTTTCTGAGCTGAAGAGTGTTACCCATGGTTTTGCCAAAATCTCTTATTTCAGGTTGTACACCGATTTGTAGCAGTTCTAGTCTGGTTTTGCAAATGCTCTGCATTCCTAGACAGTCTCAAAGACTCAAGGTTACATTTTTTTCAATAGGTCATGAATTTATCTTGGATATGTTTTCTTGTCTAAAAAAAAATCCCACTAGTAATCTAGTACTGATTCACAATCAACCAATCTGAATAAAACAACTTACCATTCAGGCTTATATCCTGAAAGTAATATGAAATTCAATGTCATCTCTATTATATGGAAGTATCACAATCTACAATAAACGTATACCACAAGGTACAGACTAATAGTTTCGTATGACTCATTGCAACTTACCTACTGTGAGTTTCAAGAGTTACAAAAGTTCTGTCTTCCAGTCCATAGATTTCTAATAAATTATTCTCTATAAAATGCCATTCTTTTTACTCTGGATTTTAAGACTTACCTAGCTATCACTGAAGGTCATAGAATTAAGTGGTGGGTTTGTTATTTGTGCCACACTGAAGCCTGAATGTTATCAGTTTCACCCTCAGTTCTTGGGGTTTTTTTGAAATATTTTATGGTGCTTAATGTGCTGTAGGAATAGCAAGTGATATTACAGATTCCAAGCCATCAAAATAAATTACAGAAGTAAATAATTTTTTAACCAGAACATTCTAAGATATATATATATATAAATTACTTTGTGTAATAGTTAAATATTACTTATCAGTTAATATTACTGAAGAATTTGATGAAACTGGTATTGGACACAATCATGTTGCTTGGTTTTTAAATATAATAAGGATTTTTTTCAATAAATCATTTAAATAGCGTACTAGTTTGGGATTAAAGGCACCTCTTTCATATTTGATTTGAACTTCAAGCTCAAGAACAGAAAATGTAATTCTGATTGTATTTTCCTGATGCCGATGTTTTACTGTTGTACTCAAAATGTTCAGCAATATTAGGCTTACAAGCCTTATGAGACATCTGCTGATGTTAACAGAAAGGTTGCCTCTTATTCTAGCCAGCACTGGATTGGCTTTTAGAAGTACGTTGTTTAATTCTATGAATGTTAAACCAAAAATAATAGAGGTTTATTCTGACATAAATGACAGCAGAATTTTTCCATCTTAAATTTTTCATAAAATCATGGTGTGCTTGGTAAACTCCAGCGTATTCCTCTTCATAACAATATGCAAACCTTCCTGCTCTCCAAAAGCATCCTCCCTACCTTTTCTCTCCTTTCAGTGTTCCATATTCTGCTTCATGCAATTTACAATAATTAGAATTTAAAGGGGAGGAAAAAAAGTCTTTGCATCATATAATTGTATTTTAAACAATAAAAAATCCAGGAGAAAACTAATTTGATAGCTACAGATGCATTTGGGATGTACGATCTGTAAGTCTTACACTGTAATACCATCATTAAACTTCACCGCAAGTACCTGATTTTAATTCTTTTGGCAGTATGGGGATTTAGTTTTATGTTGACAGGGGGAGCAGCATGTCAGTGCATGAATGGTAATGATACTTATTCCCTAGTTAGGCAAATAAAAATGACAGGCTAAGTGAAGCACTGCACTGAACTAGAATGCATTTTTAAATTGCATTATTTGGAAAATGAGAAAAGTCTGCTTTAATATAGCAATCATTTATTGGAAGACTTTAATTAGATTTAAGTGAAAGGTGAGTAACCAAAGCAAAGTCTTAAGAGCAAATTGATCATTTAATAAACCTTAGCATTGTCTTTAAAGTACTGAAATCTTAGCAATATCAGTCATAGTATTTTATCCCTTGTGTAAATAAATAGTAACAGAGGTGAACCTGTTAAAACTTAATGGATGCATAACTCTTGTGGCAGTTAATGTTGAAACAGATGTATTTTTCCTGTTATGTATTTCAGTTTATGAATTCTGTCCCTCCCTTCCCCATTCATGAATAATATATCCCTGTAAGGGGATTAGGCATACCAACCTGAGTTTTCTATTAAAATAGTTAATTATTTCTCTAAATTTATGAATATATATCAAGGGAGTTTGGGTTAGTTAATAGTATTTTATTTTAATACATATACATGAATCCATATGCACATAGTCCTGAAAAATGTGAGGTAACTGTTTTGGAACTAGACTGCTCCTAAGCTCCTGCTAGCAAGCTGTAAGGTAAACATTCCTTAATAAGCAACAAGTGAAAAATAGTTTTTCCTCCTTCAAAGTAAAATGCAGATAGACTCCTCCCATAATTTTTTTTTTTTTTCTCTTAGTTCAAGATATGGAGGCACAGGCAAAAAGTAAAAGGTGGATAGACCTTTGTATCTTATCTGGAAAGGGTGTAACGCAAAGATGAAAGTCTAAGGCACAAAAACTCCAGACACTTCAGGAAGGGCTGGAAATGAGCTATTAAGCTATGATGAGAAAGAAAAAAGAAAAAAGAAAAAAAAACAACAAACCCAAGAAACAAGAAATATATAAAACAAAGGATAAACAATTCCATGTAACCTCAGAATGTCCCACAACTCTACTTTTAAGGATTCCCTTGATAAATCATATATAAAAAAAAATTGTTTGAATTTTGATAAAGGTCAACTTTAGCTTATTTGGAACATACAGAGTTTAACTTTTTTTAAGATACAGGTGTGTCTGTTCAGACAACATAGTAGTCTGAATGGCAGCATAACACAGCACCTTTGAAATTCCTCCAAAGCTTCTGTGTTTGTCACTAGTTTTTGGTCAAAGTGGTTGTGTTAATGTGCTGACATCCATCTCAGAGGTAGTTATAAATTACTGTTTGCTGATGCAGTGAGGAAAGGTGTACGTAGCCATGAGGAACCATCGTATGACAGTGCTATGTGGACTTGATTTTATTTCAGACCAATGATGTAAAACCAGAAGTTGCATTCTTGTTTGCAGGTAGTTGGGATTTTGCTTTGAAGTGTATGACCAGTAGTGCCTTCCTATGAAGCTGAAGTATGATGTCAAATGATGTAGAACTCAGGCTGTAATTTATGTTTTATTTTTGTGTTCTACAGACAGTAACTTCATCCTTGCAAATGCTCAGGTGGCTAAAGGATTCCCTATTGTATACTGCTCAGATGGCTTCTGTGAGCTTGCTGGATTTGCACGAACTGAAGTCATGCAGAAGAGCTGCAGCTGTAAATTTTTACTTGGTGCTGAAACAAATGAGCAGATGATTCTTCAAATTGAGAAATCGTTGGAGGAAAAGGTAGAATTCAAAGGAGAAATCATGTTCTATAAGAAGAATGGTAAGTTTTTTCTTTCCTTTTTGTCCCAAAAATAAAACTTCATGTTTATGCATATAATAAATAGCATACATTTTTATGTAATGATATTGTATATCTATAATCAGACCTACAAGAATAGAGTTGAATATAGTTGTGTGCATATTGAAACTATGTTTATATTAGTGTTACTGATTTCATATATGACAAGTTACAAAGCTACACAGAAGAAATTCAGGGTCCAAAATGGCAAAGTGAGACTGTGCTATCTGCAATCAGTGTGGTGCTGCATTTTTTACTTTTCCTTTTATTGAAGTTCTTATCCCTTATTGCTGAAACTGTAATTAAAAAAATTAAAAATACTCACCATAAGGTAGACAGTAGCTATGTAAAATTTTCTGTCCCATCATTTAAATGTTCAGAACTTTAAATGATCCAAATGATTCATTCTGCACAGCCACTATATCTAAATACCATAATAATAATTTTCAAAAGATGGATAATCAGCACACTAAGTAAATTTTATATTTAGGTGTGTATTGTCACACTAAACAAAATCTGGACATTAAGCAACTCCATAGTCTTCAGTACATTTTGAATTAGATTTCACTCCTGTGGCAGGTCATAGAATCATAGAATAGTTAGGGTTGAAAAGGACCTTAAGATCATCAAGTTCCAACCCCCACTGCCATGGGCAGAGACACCTCACACTAAACCGTATCACCCAAGGCCTTGTCCAGCCAGGTCTTGAACACTGCCAGGGATGGAGCATTCACAACCTCTGCTTTAATTTATATCAGGCTCCTTCAGTGTACCTATTCTGTGTTTACACTGCCATCATTCATGTGATCTTCACATTCATGTGGTCTTAAAACAGGTGACACTAAGTGAGATACTGACAGGATTCCCTTCATACGTGCTCAGTGATACTTTGGTTCAAAAGATTTGTGGGGGTCTGTTGAATATTGCTTTCTGTTTCATTATATGGCTAGAATTTTTAGACATATGTTTAGGCCACATGTTTTCCTCATAGATCCTGCTTAACGACTTTACTAATGAAACATTTTCCTCTCAAATGTTATTATATTTAATACTTCAGAAAGTTCTTTTGTAAAAGTAATAACTAGATATTATAGACAGAAGAATAATATATAGATATAATAGGTAAGAAGATAGAAGATAGAAGAATATATAGGTATAATAAGAAGATAGAAGATAGAAGAATAATATATAGATATAATAGATAAGAAGATAGAAGATAGAATAATATATAGATATAATAGATAAGAAGATAGTCTGATTTAGAGCGACAGGAGAAGGCTTTTAAGGCCTGTCACTTTCCCTGACTTAAGAATATGTTTCTTAGTTGGCTGGTGTTCTTGACTGCTATTTTTCACAGTATGAAATTTTGATGTTGTTTTGAAGATGCTGCTAAATGCTTCCTCTTGTCTTTTTGGGGAGGCTTGGGCGATGTCTGTTATTAGGTTTTAGCATTTAGAAGAGACACCCACAGTTTCTTAAGCTCATGTTTCAGGAAGGTTGTTTAAAAAAAGTCTCAAATATGTAAATCATGTCTGAATATAGGAAAAAATTGTCTTAATCTGGAAGGATAAGAGCTGTTTTTCTCCAGCATTGTATAGTGATGAGGGGGCACAGTGAGAAGAGATTTTAATGTATGTAAATTAAAGAACTAAAGCTAATACATTCATTTGATTTTGTCCTGAATGATAAATTGTGATTCTTTTGCACTAAGAAGAGGTGCTTCAAACCATTAATAGATATGATTAATGCAGGCAGAAAGAGATTGCAGGTCAATTTGCTTATCAGTGAAGTAGCTGAACCACAGATAAATAAAGAGAAATCGTTTAGGATAAAAGAATTCCCACAATCTGTCCTACTTGCATCCCTGTGTATAATTTGACTGGAAACCATTCCAAGACATTTTCTGAGTATGAATAATTTTCCCAGACTGCCTCTTGTATTTTTCATTTTTGTGTATTTCTGTACCACTGAGAAACAGAAATGAATATGTATTAAAATAATATGAGATGGTCCTTTGATAAAAGCAAAATTAATCTTAAGAATAATGCCTTTTTTTTTCTCTTTTCTACAGAGCTGCAAACTGCAGGCAGCATATTTGGTAAATCATCCTTTTTAGAAATTTTTTTTTTTTTTGAGGGGGTTTGTTTGGTTTCATTTTTTGTTTGTTTTGGGATTTTTTGGGTTTGGGGGGCTTTTTTCAGAAAAAAATTGAACTTCTGAACTGTTGCGCTTATTCAACGTTGTCTGAGGGGAGAAAATAAAAGAAAAAAAAAGATGTCTTTGTTGCAGGAAAATCTTTTTAAAAAGTTTAAAAACTTTGGGAATAATAGCCTTAAAATGACTATATGGATACATAGGCCTAGCTACCAGACCGAACTAAAAATTTCAGGGCAAACTTCAGGAACAGGAATTCAGCTTCAGGGGTAGTTCTGAAGGAACTAGTTCTGAGCTCAAAGAATGTTCCTTAGCATACTTATTAGAAGCTTAATAATGAGTATATCATTATGATAATAAAAGACTGTGAAGGAAATGAATGCATGAACACAATAAATTATACTTGGTTTCTTCTGGATTTGATCTAAAATGTAGAAGCTTGAAATCAATAAATAATTTATTTTTATTTTTTTTTTTACATGTATGTCTCATGTTCTGGGAAAGAAATTCAAACTTCCAAAAATGAATATGGATTGATTTCTTAAATGCCACATATTTTAATACTTTTAATTTGATCTAAACTCAGTTTAAAACTGGTTTAGTCTTTATCATTTAATTAGATTGCTCATTCTAAACAAGTAGTGAATCAAAGTAGGGACTTGAAGATCTTAACAGTTTTAATTTGAATTTAGTAAACTGGAAATGGGGCCTTTCACAGCTATTTAACCATCATTTAAGAATCAACACATCACTTATGCTCAATAGTTGTTAAAGGAATGATTGTTACAACTAAAGCAACTCCATCAACCCATGCCCAATATACAATTTCACAGAAGTTCCAGACTGCTCTGAGCTGTCACTGGAGAGAGTAAAAGTGGACTGCAAGGAGTTAGGTGAGGAGCTGAATAAAATGTCTGTGGGATGAAATGCAAGATTTCCTTGTCTTTCTCATTTGGGTTTGAATCTTAACAGAAGGATGATCTTCAGCAGTTGTACTTTGACCAAACTAGAAAACAATACTCCTGGAATTAACTAGAAGTGGATGAGAACTTGTCTCTGTCTTTTCCTTTTGGCATTTTAACAAATCCTTAGAATAGTTAAACCCTTTGTACCTTGTCATCCAGGGTATTTCCTGCCATATTAGCACAGAGCAGTGTTAAGATCTGTAGCAACAGCAGCTTCAGAGAGAAATATCTTTTGAAAATTTTACTCAAAAGACACTTCCCATCATAGTGCAGTATATATTTTGATTGCTCAGTCAGTTTCTAACCTTTTATTCATTACAACTGCATTGGGTTTTGAAAACAAACAGAAAATAAAACTATTTAAAGACAAGGAATTTTATGATTGTTGCCTTCTTCAAGAAGTTTAAAAATTATATAGCTCAGGAGGTGATTGTTTAAGGGATTTTCTACTTCTCTATTTCTACATTTTCTTCAAAACATCTGCAACAAATTAAGTTGTCAATTATGATAATGGCAATGCAAAGCAACCTTTTTGAATTCAAGTAAATTGTGAGAAAAGAACTCACTCCCTGAATCTCTTTTTTTAGAGTAATCTCAAAGCAAATGGACACTATGCCGAGGAACTACATTTAGACAAATAATACTTTTTCTTCCTGCCAGACCACTGCAGAAATTTATCAATAGCAAGTACATGTAGTTAAATGAGAGCTTCACCATGCCCCAGACAGAAGTATAAATATGTAGCAGTGTGGATTTTTTCCTCTTCTATTACAGCCAAAGATGATTATACAATAAGCCCTATAATCATTGACAGTCCAGTCTAAGCTTTTCCATCTTCAGCTGCAGAGAAGGCTATAACCTGGTTCCCTTTTGACCCTATCAGACTCACTTCCTATGTCTCAGACATCAGTCTCTAGTATTTAAAAAGAGGTCTGTTTGCACTCATAACCTTTTAAGACCTTCAGCCCTACAATTTTCCTTCACTGAAATTGGCCTCTTTCTGTCTATAAGTTGTGTGAGACACTATGTAATCAGGGATGGCCACTTCTGTCTTAAGGATATTTGGTTGGCTTCCCGATGTTGTCTGTTGTAGCTGTGCACCTCAGCAAACAGGGCTGTTTGCACAGCCTTTTGTGGGCAATTAAAATCCCTCCTGTAAGTGGACTGGAGTGAATGGGTGTTGCTGGAACCACTGTTTCCACTTTCCTTAGGGCTTGGGCATAAGTACAATTTGTTTCATCTGTGACAGACCACAGGGACACAAGGGACACTTTGCTATTCTCTATGTGTGTACTGATATAAACACCTTCTGAGGTATGTCTTAGGTATGTGACTAGTAGTTCTTGGCCCCTAAAGATCTGGCAAGTAACCTGTAAGGTCATGAAGGCACAATACAGTTATTTCCTAAATCTTTTAATTTTTAGAGTCAGCATGATTAAATCAAGGTATTTTGGCTCTTCTCATCAGTGTTGGAGAATGTGTATTATCTGCAAAGTCAGGTTCAAGGTCTATTTCAGACGACCAGAATATGAATGTATAAAGGGTGAAAGAGCCTTCTCCTGAGTCACTGGATGCCGTCAGACAAAAGGCTATTTGAAGTCTAGGTGTAACAGTATTCTCACATGAGCATCAGTAACAGACAGAGGCAAATGAAATAAGCCTTAAGCCATGAAGCATTGTCCATATAGCCTCTGCTGTGGTTACAGTTGAATAATGTGGCTACAGGATAACAAAGGCTCCATTACATTATTTGCAGTTAATGTATGACTTTTGTTAGACATAAAACTTTTTTAATGAGATTAATCTAATTTTAAATTATGGAAGATTTAATTAATTATAAAGAAACTTAATAAAAATTAATTT